ACAGAGTTAAAAAAAAAAACAGCCATCGTCTCAAATCAAGCAATATCGCTATCTGGAGATAAATGACCTTGTTTGAAATTCTATAACAATAGTATTTTCTTTCGTTGTGAAAACTGTTGTTTAGTTTATGTAGTTGTTTTATGAGAAGTAGTATCAATTTTAAATTAGATTCAACAGATGTTTTTATATAAACTCTATAATAGATTGCAAGTGTATGGGGTAAAAAGGGCCTGGTTACCCAGGTTACCCTGGCGAAAGCATATAAATAATTGGTAATTAAAAATGTAAATTTAGTAATCAAGCCATATTACAAGAAATAAATGAAATTAATAGTTATTTCAACACTGCTGATGAATATTTCTGACAAAATACCAGATCAAGGTTGAATACAGTGTTAATTTTGTAAAAAATGTGCTCATGAAATTTATATTTTGCATTGGTTGAGAATATTGTAGCTATTATTTTGCTTTAAAATTAAAAATAAAACATTGGATCTGTTTGCCACTTGCATATGGATAAGATAAAAAGTACAACAATTTTTTAAAAATAGAAATAAAAATAAAACAGAAAAAAAACATATTTGTACAATGAATTAGCTGAGAGTTTTATTAACATATTCAGAGAGTTGTTTGTTTCATAATTGTTTTGATTTTCACAATAATTGCTCAAAGTCAAATTGAACCTTTGTCTCGCAAAACTAATCAATAAGAGTTCATAACGAATTTCTTTTAGGCTTTTAGTTTTTTTAAATCAGTGCAGCCGTTTTAAAAAACTTATCAAATCCAAATTTTTATGTAAGTAATAAAATCATCCACATCCATTACATTAAGGATGTAATTAGTAGCAGAAGTTCAATCCATCATTCCAAGCTAGAAAACCATCCAAATCATCTTATAGCACCTCTACTTATGACTCCGTCTACTATAAGGTTGAAGAGAAAAATTCCTTTGGACTTGACATAACATAGTGAGCTGCTCATTGGAACAGTTTCATGGATTAATTAGTTTATATTATAATTTTACCTTTAGTTTTAATTATGTTATGAGTTATTATTATTATTATTTTTTTTATGTTATTTTTTTTCTTTCTCTTTTTATTTTAATTTGTTATATATTATTTTAATTATATCAGCTCTGTAACTCATAGAGTCATTCTGACTCTGATTGTTATAATTAATAAAATAAATAAAAAAAAATCCAAATTTTTAGAAGAAATACGGAAAATAAACAGAAAAAATCCATTTTATTTTTTCGTTAACATATTTGAAACAGATCACTTGGTAACTTCTTGGTTATTTTGATCTAACAGTCTATTTTGGCTAGTCTACTTGGATGTTCAGTCAGTCTATTTTAAAATTTCACTTTTAATAGAATTTGTACATTTAAAATGTGTAGTATTATTTATTATCGATTATATAATAAGGTCATACAAAAATATTATTATATTTGATAATTCACACTTGTCTACTAAAAACACTTTACAATATTTGTATAAAATTTTGTTTATATAATAGATTGATATTGCAGTAGCTGACCATGGCTAAGGTCAGCTACAATTAACACATCCATACATTACATTTCGACAAATCATGTTAGTGATTAGATATGTTGAACATAATTGACATTTTATTTTGTTAACGTAAAAGTAAATTTATTTATCAATAAAAACTGTTTATGCCATTAAACCTTGCTGAACATTATTTTAAATTCTAAAAATTGTTCTTATTCTTTCATTCTCGAAAAAAATAGATTTGGCAGCGGTGGGATTCGAACCCACGCCTCCGAGGAGACTGGTGCCTTAAACCAGCGCCTTAGACCGCTCGGCCACGCTACCGCTGGGAAACCAGTATCTAGATTTCGAGACAGTCGAGAACTGACTATTTTAATATAATAGTGCTATTAGGTCTTTAGAGCTGATCTAAAAATATCTAGTGTTTACAGTTATTACTAACTAACTTCGATTAGTTTTTAAATATATTCTGTATTTACTAACTTCCCGTAGGGTAAGTTATACGAATCGCAAAAATCGAAAATTAAAGTTTTTATATATCTTATCAAAATATACGTATATTTTTATATACGTTTCAAAGGTTTTTGAACATTTTGGCATACCTTACAAAAAATGTATGTGTGTGCGTATGTACGTATGCTTCGATACAATTTTTTGTCCATGATTTCGGGCGCACGAATCAACCGATTTGAATGATTCAAAATTAGTTTGCTGTTTAGTTTTTGGCAAAGGCAGGTCCAGCTGTTTTGAAGATACGGGACCTGAAGTGCCAAGAATGGTAATTTAGTTTTTTCAAACATGATTACTAGACATATGCATCAGATGCTTTTATAAAGATTATAAAAATGAGTACAAATATTGTTACATTTTTTGGGTTCAATACCAAGATTTTTTAAAATTTTCAAAAAATAAACAAAGTTTTATACTTCAAATATAAATTTTAAATTTACAATTCAGTTCAAAAATGTATGTATTTTATATGCATTATAATAAAAAATATAGCCTCAGATGAATTCGTCACTGTATAGTGTATATTACATGAACGATATATAGTAGTAATTATATTTATCTATTTAATTGTTTAAAAACAATTGTTATTAATCATAGATCAATATTTATTGTTTATCGTGTTTTCCTCGAATATTTCATTCTGGTACGGAAAGTTTCAGCAATTTGCCTTAAGGCACAATGCCATGCACTACTAGTTATATTCTATATTTATTTATTCTGTATTAATCCTTCAAAAGATAGGATCTTCGACTAATCACTGGTAATGATCAGATAATTCGTATTTTTTCTAACGCCTACAGTTTTTATCAAAATACTTTGCTTGTTGTCCGTTCCTGGACAGTTGTAAAAGTTTAATAAAAAAATATATGTTCAGTTTAGAATTAACAATTAATATCGCGTTAAGAATATCCTTACCAAGAATAGACAATAATATATATATATATATATATATATATATATAACAGCAAACTGTTTTAAAAATTAAATAAGAAATAGCTTTTATTTCATCAATGTTTCGAATATCAAAATATAAAAATTCTATTTTATAAGCTGCTAAGTGTCAATTGTTAGTCAATTGTAACTTATACCCAATTATAAATATAATTTACTTCACAGAATGATTTTTTTTGTTAATACACAATAATAAAATTATATTAGGTGTGATCACTCTGCCACAAAAGAATCCAAATTGACAGATGTGTTAATGATAGTGCCAATTGTGGTTTACAGAAGGGATCAATATATTGTGCAATTTGCTTGGGGCGTGAATATGGTACTGATATTATTTATACTGACAATAAGAAGGTAAATTTCAAAAGATTTTTGTAGTTAATTGTAAATAGAAATTATCAGTGATTTTCTGCAGCCTGATCAATATACTTGGAAAACTGTAAAGTGTAATAAGAAGACGTAGTGCATTCTCAGATTGATAATAGGACTAATTTGGCTTACTAGATATCTAACAAATGATTATAATTATTGAAATATTCATTTATGAAGATAATCGCTATAATTCACTTTATCTAAATATGACAATAACTAGGTGTAAATGGTATTTTCAGTAAGTCATTATAGTAAGTTCACCTCGGAATTCTAGATACCCAGCTGTAAATTTGTATATTGACACTAAAAAGTTGTCTCAAAACTACATATGGCAGGGTGTACACATAAGCTTAATTGACTGGACTATTTGCTTTAAAGCAACTTGCAAAATATAGATATGTCCAAGAATAAGATTTGGTCATTTCTAAACATGTGAAAATATGTTTTTAAAATTGACACAGCCCAATATCCCCAAATTTTTTTTTTTTTTTAAATAAACTATTTTTTGTAGGTTTGTAATATTTTAGAATGTTTCTTAAGACCATAAACACTATCACCACGTAAAATATCATCAAAATAGTTTAAAAAAAATTAGTAAGTCCAACCAACTTTTACCAAAAAGTAATCAGCAGAATCGCCAACATATATCTTTCAAAATCGGTTCAAGATTTCTGAAATAAAAACATGCAAAAAAAATTTGCACTTATCTGCTAATTGTAAAGAAACGGTTTGACTGAAAGTGTCATCATAGAATTTCATCGAAAGGCCTTCAAAGGGTTCAGTAGTTTTTGAGAAAACGTCGAAGAAATGTCAATATTTTTTCACATACATATACATTTTATGATTTTGGGGTCAAACGATTCAGAATAACTTGAAATACCGAGAAAATATAAAATCAAATTTTCTGGCAAACTTCCTTCGTGAAGTGCATGAGACATGTCTACTACTTAATATAATAAATCTTTTAATTGAATGTTAACTTTTGTTAAATAGTTAAATATATCTTAAATATTTCAATAGCATGCAGAATTGAGTTTCAAATTAGAAATCATTACATCAATTCTGAGTAACTAGAACATACAGAACTGTACGTTTTTAAATAAAACATATTTTTTGGTTGTTCACATATCCTCAGTGCGTGCAACCCCTCGTTTTTTGTATCAATAGATTTGATCGCACACCGAATATAATAACATAACATTGACACAGAATTTCTACCAGATATTGGTATTGTGATTGAGTTATGTTCATTTTGCATAAAATAATTATAGTCAGCCAAGTGTGAACGAACAATCCGAATTACGTTGGAGAGACCGCGAAACAGTTGATATTTTGAATTGCGACGCTCCGCTGGAGTTGATATTTAATTTTAATGACAAGCAGTATTTGCATAATCAAATCACACAGTTTCGAACTTATTTATTTTGATTATAATTTAATTTCAATTTAATATTTGCTTGGTGGAAGTCGTGAGAGCAGTGGTTATGAAATGGAAATGTTGGAGAAAGAAATTATAGTCCTTATTACTGCATATTAGAATATTACCACCATACACTTTAATTGATTAAAATTGTATATGCATGTAATAAATATTTTTTATTCCTCGTTTTATTTTCTTAGAATCAGACCAATAGTCAGATATGATTTTTTTTAATTACCAGGTCATTATAATGTTTTACGAACAATTTCCCATTTGCAATGAATTAGTGCAATAACAGATCAAATATCAAGTTATAGAGTAGGGTGGAGCACAAAGGTCCAATTTAACTTTCAGTAAATATACTGCCTAAAATCAAATAATCTTCAAAACAACACATAATACGTATTAAATGAACAACTTTCGTACTATGTTCAGTAAAATTCTCAGTTAATTATAGTAACGTATTTTTTACCATTTTTCTAAAACTTGCCATCTGACCTTTTTTACTCCATAGCCGGGGTGAAATGGGAAAGCCAGAGGGCAAATAAATCCAATGTCTTATTTTTAAATATAGAAGAATTTTGCGAAAAAATAGCTAAAATAAACAACCAATGCAAAATTAAATTTTCATGGGCACTGTATATAACCTTGATTTGGTATTTCTTTGCTATTTCAGAAATATTCATCAGCAGAATTGGAATGACTATTAATTTAATTTATTTCTTCTAAAACTGCTATTTACTATTTTTTATTGTTTATGCCTTTGCAAGGGTAAAGGTTCAGTTGGTCCTTTTTATCCCACCCTCATGTAAGCTTTTAAAGAAGTAACATAAAAAACAGTTCTGTCCAATTTAAAATTAACAGTACTTCTTATAAAACAAATAAATAGTGAATATTTAAAAATTACATTTATGTCTCGTAAATGAAACCACAGTGCACAAACAAAAACTAACAACAAAGAAAACAGTTTTGGCTAATTATCTCCTGACAGCGCCCTTGATTTCAAGTGATGACTGATCACTTATTTTTTACCCTCTGCTTTCAAATATTGTTGTTAAACATTCCTAACTTTGCTTTTTTTTGAGATATTAGTGGTGGACCTTTTTACCCGCGTATCTTCAAGCATTGATCTATCCTACTAGAAATCTTTACTATAGCGAGAATATTTTCTTTAATTACCCTTTTACTGACTTATTAGTCAAAATTAATAAACAAATTATTGCTTTTATATTTTATCGATGATCTTTATTAGGCGTGAGTTTCCATAAAAAACTTTATCAATTGCTGACAATATTTTGTAAAGCACAATAGCTTTGACTATTTTTTAACGAAATTTATAACAATTATAATATTCAAAAAAAAAATCATTACAATTTAATGGAAGTTTTAAAACTATTTTTTCTATCTATTTATATTTAAACTACTGCCAAACATAAGAATGATATGCTGAAACAGTACATTATGGATTAGGATATCAAATGCTTGATGTATCAATGATATACATAAAATGGAAAAAAACTTTTTTTATTCTATTTACAGCAATCAGAACTTAGTCGTTCAAGCTTGTTGTGGTGACTTTATTGACGTGGCTTTAGGAGGAAAACCAACAGTTGGGTCTTATCTCATTTGGATGAATTTATTATTAAAACAACTATAACATTGATGACTTTATATTAATGCAATAATTATTGGAAAGCATATTGATAATTATATTCACAAGTGAAAGCCAATGCCACGGCTGCGTGACATCAGCCTGTCCGATACGGGTATTGGACCTGATTCTTTAAGTTGAAAGCTCATTAAAAAAACACTAGTAACCATTAATCCACGGTTAAGTATTAAATACGTTAAATTATCACGTTGTATTTTTGACAGTTTGTTGGTGGTTCTTGGTTAAAAAGCAATACGTAAGATATGAATCCATACTTCCGTATACAATTGAAGTTCACAATATTGTTAATAAATAATGGCAGTAACATTTATTCAGAAATTTTAAATATATGTCAAAATTAGCTTTCTGGTAAAACATTTCACAAGTGTCAATATACAAAATGATATTTTTTTAGTTGATTGATGTGTAAAATGGAGAAACAATATACATTACATGCAATCCATGATAATGATGAAGAAAGAGTACAAGAAGGGTTACGTAAAATTATCACATATTTCTCAGATATTTGTAAAAATCATGACCACCATCAAAATGCTATAAACTGGACCCTGTTCAAAGCTGTAGAGCATAATAATATTCGAATGATCAAACTTATTCTTGATGTTCAGTGCGATCTACTTGCATAAAATGAATATGGAAATACTGCATTATCTTTAGCATGCTACAAAACTGAATCACTTGATATAATTAAAGAATTATTGGATCGAGGCGCTTCTGTGCATACTATTAACAAGCGAGGAGAAACCCCTCTCATGATAGCATGCGCATATTCAAATATTCATGTTGTGAAATTATTATTGGAATATGGCTCTGATCTTGAAAAAGTTGACAATGAGAATTTGACTGCATTATGGCATGCAAGATGGAGTAATAACAATAATACGTATAGTAAATGAAAGTTGTTATGTTGAAAGTTTATGTGAATAATAATACAACCGTTTATGCAGAAGGATAAAAACAGACTGACTGATTATATATTCTTTAACTAATGACATTCATTGCAAACATTATTAACAATCACTTGTTTTACAAAAAACAAAAGACAAACATATATACATAAACATAGTAGACACAGAGCGTTTAGTATCAAACTTCAACACTCTTAAAAGCTGGTGCCAAGAATATTGTACCTAGTGCATTAGATGCAGTGTTATTAAATGATATCGATGCATTGATGGAAGCTATAGACAAAAGTTGCGATTTAAATGAAACAGAATCCAGCGGCGATACTGCTTTACATAATGCAGTACAAATGAGATATAATAAAATGGTTATATTGTTATTGAATGCAGGTTTTTCAGTGAATATTCAAAATTCTTGTGGAGATACCGCATTACATTTGGCTTGCGTACCGGGTATTTCATCAGAAATTATAGAAATGTTAGTGAAAGCTGATAAAGATATTGTTAATATAAGTAATTACCGTGGTGCGTATCCAATTATGGAAGCTAGTTATTCTTGTGATTTAAAAATTATAGATATTTTAATAAAAGCAGGAGCTAGTTTGAATGTATCATGTGATAATCATACTGCTTTATGGGATGCTAGACTTGCCAATAAAATGGATATTTACCAAAAATTACTTGAAGAAGGCATAAACCCTTTGCTTGGTGGTGAATTTCAGTATTATGTACAATTTTTGTTCAATATGTGGTGTACTGATTCGGAAATGGTAATTAAAATTTTACACTCGAATAAACATTTGAAAACTACAGGATTTGTTCAAATTGCTTCAAATCTTAGATACAACTTGGATTATGTGAAAGAGTTTGTCCAAGCTTTGAGTGATGCTGGAATTCACGTGCATTTTGTAGACGATTCAGCTTATAGTGATGCTGGAATTGATATACCTTTTATAGAACGCCCAGTTCAAAGCTCTCCTTATGCTTTGACTATATCTTTTACAGATGCTTCTGAAGACCTAATATTCTGGTTAGCATCACAAAGTTGTGCTATAGAACCAATTGTTTCGAATGAGTCAGATAAATTCAGTCTTAAACACATATGTAGAACATTTATTCGAAAGGCGTTATCCGAAACTGTTCACTCAAAGCATCAATTTGATTTAGCTTTGCGCCAATTAGACTTGCCTATTGATGTGATGTTATACATAAAATACTTGAAATAATAATAAAGGATATATAGTTACAATTATGTTTCTTCTCAAACAACTTGTTACATTTAAAAATAATAAAGAATTGATTTAATATCTGTGGGAAGCAATATCATTCTATATCGATATTTTATTTTAATATTATAAACAAACTAGTTGGTATTGGTACTTTGCCTTAAGGCAAGTTACATGAACTTCCCGATATGTGCAAATAATCGACTTAATCCATGATAGATAAATTAATGTATGAGTAGTTAAAAGTATTCGAAATGGATTTAAAACACATTATTGAAAATCGAACACGCCAACCCGGTCGGAGTATTTTTTAAAAGCAAATTTTCAAAAATCAATAATTTTTATAATTGAACCAGTTTTTTGTTGGACTTTATTTGTTTAATATGTTCATTAAGACCAAGTACTCTTTCGTTATATGAAGTAAATCATCTAATTTTAATTTTAACAAATGTCAAAAGAACTACTCATTTTCTCAAACTTCGATAAATTTTTAAAATTAAAATACTTGTCGTAAGGCCGTAATATTTCAATAAGTTCTATAAGACTATGATATATATCACCAAAAAAAGTTCCATGAAAATCAGTTTAAATTTTTTTTCAACAGTTAATTACAAAAAAAAACGGCTCGGTAGATTTTCACCTAAAAGTAATCAGTGTCATTCCCAACTAATATCTTTCGAACAGTTTTTGATTTTTTAAAATCGATTCGGTAGTATGAGCTTAAATGTGAATAAAAAGTTTACCACTTCTTTCAAATTACAAAGAAACGGCTCGGCCGATCGTCGCACAGAACTGAGCAACGATAATCCTCATCGAGATACATCAAATGGTTTTTAAATTTCTGAAATCGGTTCAGGCATTTTTGAGCAAACGTCGATGAACGATCTAATTTTGACAAATGCCAAAAAGACCATACTAATTTTTGCAAACTTTGACGAATTTTTAAAGTTAAACCAGTTGTCATAGGGCAGTAATATTTTAGCATGATATAGAAGACTATGGTATCTACCGTCTAAAATAATAATAATAATAATCGACGAAAACTGCCCGGCCGATCTCTACCAAAAACTAATCAGCACGATTCCCAACCAATATCTTCTGAACGGTTTTTGATTTGATTTGAATTTTAAAAATCGATTCAGAATTGCGGGCTAAAACGTAGACGAAAATTTTTTCACTTTTCTGCGATTCATAAAGAAACGGCTAGGCGGATCGTCGCACAAAACTGACAAACAATAGTCCTAATCGAGATACATCGAATGATTTATAAAGAAACGGCTAGGCGGATCGTCGCACAAAACTCACAAACAATAGTCCTAATCGAGATACATCAAATGGCTTTTACATTTTTGAAATCGCTCCAGCCGTTTTTGAGAAAACGTCGATTTACGGCAAAAAATCTGTTCACACACGCACACATACTTTTTCCAAATTTGGTCTCATCCGATTCAGAATGGCTTAAAACGCTTTAACTCCTTCGGGAAGTTAATATATCAATAAATTTATTCTATTTGTAAAAAAAAAAATAGAAAAACTCTGATTCTGACAAAGCGCAAGCATTCAAATTGTTTCATAGTTCCAAATATAATATTGTATACCCCAGTAAAAATGTTAACATTAAAAATGTTTAACGATCCCGCTTTGATTCAAGTCAAAATCAACATAATTCATACACTGGCATAACTAAACCGCACGGGCCAACTGATTTAGGGTGAAAATGACCATTTGACCGGCACGCTGCATCTGCAAATGATTTTTGTCCCTATTATCCTGACGTTTTTATTGAGAACGAACGCCGAACGTGTCCTGCACCGCCCACTTCTGTTCCGATACATTGCTCTAATAAAGTCATTACAGAAGTCTAACATAACAGGCATATTTTCGAATATTTTAGGAGATATATGGAATTATGTGAAGGCACGCGTGCCGGGGGTGATACTTTTATTTGCGCCTGTTTTGTAATATCTTTTTTGTTGTGATAATTGCCATGTGTTAAATCAGAGGAGCGCATAAAACATTTTATATGAAACGGTTTATTTTTTATTTTACATGAAAATCTAGTAAAAGATATTGTTTGAAAATAAATGGTTCAACATAAAAATGCAAAAAAGCTCTTTACAAAAATTATAACTATACTGATTAAATTTGCAGTTATATGTTATGCCGAATTTAATATGCAGATGATGCTAAGTTTAATATATAATATTCAAACTAGCAAATACTTGGAAAACAGACTAAATCTAAAAATAGTAATTACAATCGTCAAAATATAATAGTTAATTTAATGTATTTTTTTGCATTATTATTATATTATTTTATTATTTATTATTATTATCTATTATTATTATAATTTATTACTATTTTTATGTTATCATCTTTATTCATTATTATTTAGTTAACTTCCCGTAGGATAAGTTATTGTAATCGTCCAAAAATCGAAATTAAAGATTTTTACATTTCCCGATGTTTTAAAGGTTTCTAAACATTTTAGTATACCTCAGAAAAAATGGATGTGTGCGTATGCATGCATGTATGGATACAATTTGTCGATCACGTTTTCGGGCGCATGGATCAACCGATTTAAATGGTTCAAAAAACATTCGATTCCTATTGATAGGGAGATGTGCTGATTAGTTTTTGGCAAAGGCAGGTCCAGTAGTTACGTAGATAAAAAGCAAAGAGTGCAGAAAATAGAAATCGAGTTTTTGAGAGAACGGAGCATCCGATTTGAATGATCTAAAAAACATTCAATTAGTAATGATTGGGAAAAGTGTTTGTTAGTTTTTGGCAAAGGCAGGCCCGGCCATTTCGAAGATATGAAGCTAAAAGTGTAAAAAATAGCAGTTTTTGAGAGAACTAAGCGTCCGATTTAAATGATTCAAAGAACTTTCTGCTTGTCTTAACAAAATAATTGATTTTGGAAAAAAATTGTTTGAACTTTTTTTTTTCAAAGAAATTTTTTTTTGTATATCGAAAATAATTCACATTTTATTTTTAATTCTGACTAAAGTTCTAATGTGCTTTGGACAAATAATTTCAACTTCGCAATTCAGTTTATATAATTCTTATAAATATTAGACAGTTACAATATTTATAATGATCTATTTGAAAACATTCAGTATTCCTCGAACATTTCGTTACGGTACGGATTATTTTTTATTCATTATTATTTAGTTTATCCTTTTTTTAGTTTTGGTTTTAAATATTTTAGCATTGCAGCTCATAGAATTTAATTACTGTTCTGATTGCTGTATTAATAATAAATGAATAAAAAATGAAAAAAAATAATTATAATAATATTATTACGGGCAGCCCACACCAACAATGAACCAAAAGTACACACACCATACAAAGTGTCCCAGAACTTAACATCAAACAAAACAGAGTGATAGTATTGTCCTTAAAAGTCCTGAAAAAAATTGGAAAAAAATACTTCACAATGTTTGGAAATTATGAAATTATGTATTGGTAAAATTATGAACATTTATCGGTCATTGTGGTTGATTTTTACTAATTTTGTTCATTTAAACGCTAATACAAACATTCATTTGCGAGCAAAATGCACTAGCAAAAATCATGCCATATATAGGTTTTTATTTTTTTACTCTAAATTTTTCAATAATAAAATTATAAAGTATTTCACCATTTTACATTCCGAGTTAAATGCGCCAACTTTTATTGAGGTTCATTGAGGTGTAGGTAAGATGACCATAATTTATGCCAACGATTATTATAAGATATGAGATTTGCCAACGCGCTGTAGTACAGTTTTTTTTTTAAAGAAGGACGTCTCAAAGTCGACCAATTTTAAAACTATTAAATTCATATTTCAACTAAAAAATATAATTTTTTGACTTGGGCAATTGAAGTATTTTTTACTGCGGTCCTAGAAATGTTAGTAACGGTTATGGTTCCAAAGATTAAATGAACAAAATGGATAAAAGTTAAGCACAATAACCAAAAATAGTCATAATTTTACCAAAGCTCTAGGTTGCACTTAAAAGCTTATAATTACGAAACAACGTGATATAATTTTGTTTTGTGATTTTTTTTAGGACAATTAAAGTCAATACTATCACCAAGCTTCTGCTTGACGTCAAGGACTGGGTCACCCTGTATATATAATAGGAAAAAATATTGACTATTCGTAACATTTTAAGTTATTCGTAACATCTACAATAATTATAAGTTATTTCTTATGGTTATTATTTATTAATCTATTTAACAAAAAATCAACCGGTGATTAGCAAAGTAAGTTTAATTGAACTCACTCAATTTATTCTTATGCCGTAGGAAAATTAGGTAATTTATAAATTTTAATAGTTTTTGCATATACATGTACGCCATATGTACGCCCATGATTTATATATTTCATCTTAAAAATGTGGAGGGTGTTTTCTAATCCATTTAACAAACAGATATGCATGCTGATTAAATCGAAAAGCATGAAATTCGTGAATATTCACATTTACACAAAAAGCATATATTGCTAATTTTTCCATTTTTCTTACATGAGATATAATATATATAACTTGATGATTTCTTTTAATGCAATATATTTCATTCATAATAGATAAAATATAAAAATTCTTTAATTCGACCGTCTTATGGAGATATTCTTTTCAAAGTACAATATAAAATTAAATATGATTCACTTCCTTGAAACCATAATAAAAATATTAAATTTGATTGTTATTTATGTGTTACAAATTAAAAAAACGCAAAAAATTATTTCATCTAAAAATTAATAATTTATCAAAAATTTCTTATTATAGCTTATTAAATATTGTTTTGTAATCATAAACAATATTAAAACATCTGAATAGAATGTTAGAATTATGTGTTAATTAAATGCTAGATTTTAAATTATTCTAATGATATAAAACTAAATCAGTACAGATGAATATGCTACATTTAAATGCTTTGCATACAATACCCAAGAATATTTTGAATATACTAATTAATTAAAACGAATACAAAGTATGATAAAAAAAACAATC